TCTCCTCGCAGAGAAAACCATCCTGCCCTCTGCTTGTTTTTATCCAGGAGACAATTTCCCCATCTGGCCTGGGATTGCTTAATTTCTACGATCCCTTCTCTCTTCAAAACATTTTTCTGTAGCTCATTGCTCTCGTGAGCCAGAGGGCTTTTCTCAGCATCTCTCCTAATTACACTGTCTCCTTTTTAACCCAGGGCAGCCAGAACGTCACAAAGGGACTGGGACAGAACCAGAATTGTGTTTTCCCCTTTGTACTCCTTTCCTAATAGCTGCTGAAAGCAATTTGCCTTTTTTCACTTTGAATATTCAGCTTGCACATGCACAGTGATGGGAAGCTCTGTGAGTGACAGCAGCTAATTTGCAGCCCATCTTGGTGATTATATACTTAGGTTACTCTTCTTCCGTGCACTTTACTTTTTATTTCATTTACCATTTATCACCCAGTCAATCTTGTAAAATATTTCCACCACTGTTCAGCTGCATTTTAATAAAATTTAAAAAAAAAGGAAAATAATTCTGACTCATCAGCATATTCATTGCTTCATTATTCACCAAGCTTTCCTGATCATTTATGAGTATATTGAGCAAAAATCCTCTCCTCTCCCCTGTGATTGCTGACCTTTGTCTCCTCTCTGAAGTTATTTGTTTACCACTTTGTGAATTTACTTCCCTGCAGTATTTTTTTCTCTTTTCTTTATTTTACTTTGAGAGTTGCTGACCTTTGTCTCCTCTCTGAAGTTATTTGTTTACCACTTTGTGAGTTTACTTCCCTGCAGTATTTTTTCTCTTTTCTTTCTTTTACTTTGAGAGAAAAAAAAAAGGTCTTTTTTTTTTCTAGTAGCTTCCTTTTTTCTCTCAATTATTCTGGGTTTATATGTGTGCCTGAGGGCATCCTTCTCATATTTTTTGTTCGATGGTAAATATTTACTGAATTTTTCATATTGTGTCTTTCAACAGCACCCTGCTGTTTGCCAGCATCTCACACATTTTACTCTTCCTTTAAGCCCAATTTAATAAGTCTTCTTGATTTATTTTTCCCCTTTTAGATGGTAACAGGCCAGGATTTGGGCTGCCTCCTTGCCTGTGGTGAACTGGAATGCATCATCACCATTATCACAACACCTTTCAGTGGCCACATTTGAATCAGATCTGCATTTCTCTGGGTCACTACAAATCTGATGGGGTCTAGAAAAGAAACAAAACACATATTTCCCTGCTTTGCTGGCTCCAGCCAGCGTGTCCTCCTCTCCACAGGCTGGTCCCCACCTCGTTTCAGGAATGATAAGGATTTTCTGGGGTTATTTTGGTGCTCACAGAAAATGATGGCGATGCTGAGAGATCCCAGAAGCATTAGGGAAAATTACTGGCTCAGATCAGTATTTCTAAACTGGCACTGGGCTTTGCAGTCACAACCAGACCTTTCTGTAGTGTCTTGGGTGCTGAAATTCAGGCTTTTAGATCTGACTCAGCTCTGAGTTACACATTTGATTCACTTCAGTAATTAAATCTTTCTTTTCACCTTGGGCAAGGATGTTTGCCACAGAAATGTGACAAAAGTCCTCTTCCAGCCCTGTCTGTGGTTTGCAGAAATGTCATATTCTTTGAAAAAAATTCTCCTGAAGGAGCTTGCACTCACAAAGTTCACGTTGATTTTGACAACTGCATTAATACATCTCTGGTAGGGATTTTATCAAAGCCATAGATCTCAGGGGTTATTTTGAACTGTCCATTTTCAAAATAAAGATGTAGGGGTTTCTCTGTTTGTTTTTTGATCCCTCAGACAGACAGATATTGTCCTGGTTTGAGGAATTTCATGTGCCAACTCAATACTTTTCTGTGCCTGGCACAGCTGGAAGGAGCAAATTGCAGACACCCCTCTCCTTTGCCACTGAATTTTTTTCTCTGTTATGATGATTTATTTTAGAGAGCACTTAAAACTTGGGATTTACTTCGTGGGCTCATAAGCAGTGATGTTGGCCCAGTGACAGATTTCTTCATGCCAGCATTCAAACTAAGAGTTACCACAAAAGGAAATTCCCTTCAGGGCAAAACACCCCCTTTAGGATGAAAATCAAAGTTGTACTGTTTGCTTGTTATTTTAAGTGAAAAGATAGAGAGAAAAGTACCCTTATCCTTCAAAAATTCTGGATTAGGAGAATAAAGAGCTGCAGGCTGCCACCAATCCACAGCAAGGTCCAATTCCAGCTGTGGGTTCTCCTTGCTGGGAAGGAAATGAGAGCACCACAGTGCAGCTAAAAGGGACCAGGGGAGGATGATGAGGGAGAAGGTAGAGCCTGGAGAGGAGGAAGGAGCCTGGAGAGGAGGAAGGAACCCTCCAAGCCCCTCCTGGCCACGGGCACCTGCAAAGCCTGAGATCCATCACGGACTTACCGAAAGGTTTAGGCAGGCGCCGGCCTCACAGAAGGAAACACATTTACAGGGAAACCCCAGATAATTTTCAAGGCTTTGCTATATAAACATATTAAAGATCTTTAAGTAATCCCCTGGCAGGGAGCAGGCAGCTCATTCCTTGCCCTGTGTTTGCTCTGAGATGCCAATCAAACGCTCTTTCCGCAGCGAGAGCTCGGGGCTAGATTTGCCTTTGTGCCCGCAGCTGGGATCAGGCCCAAGAGGCGACAGCCAGCAGATAAGGGTTTAATTAATGTCCAGAAAGGAGCAGGAGCGACAAACGTTATCTGCAGTTTCAGCTGACTCACACGATGGGCTGATAATCTACTGAGAGTTCCATGGTCCCCCTCGGGATCGCTGCTTTCCTCCTGCAGCCATGGACCTGACTGCCCATCTCCCAGGCTGCTGGAAAAGCTCCCCATGATTTCTCTGCACAAGGCATCAAGGTGGACCTTTGCACATAAGGGGAAAACTGGATTTTAACGTTTTCAGTCCGATGTTTTCTCTAAGTGATGGAGATGAGAAGTGCGATCTGAGCTGCTGAGTGATGGAGCTGCAGCAGCTCCATCTCCCTCTTCTGCTCCATCTGCCTCTTCTGCTCCATCTGCCTCTTCTTCTCCATCTGCCTCTTCTTCTCCATCTCCCTCTTCTGCTCCATCTCCCTCTTCTGTTCTATCTGTCTCTTCTTCTCCATCTCCCTCTTCTGCTCCATCTCCTTCTTCTGCTCCATCTCCCTCTTCTTCTCCATCTCCCTCTTCTGCTCCATCTCCCTCTTCTGCTCCATCTCCCTCTTCTGCTCCATCTCCTTCTTCTGCTCCATCTCCCTCTTCTGCTCCATCTCCCTCTTCTTCTCCATCTGCCTCTTCTGCTCCATCTCCCTCTTCTGCTCCATCTCCCTCTTCTGCTCCATCTCCCTCTTCTGCTCCACCTCCCTCTTCTTCCTGCATCCTCTTGTGGCATGGAGGATCCACAAAATATCTAATTTATCAGTTGTGACTGTCAATGAGAAATGCTCCCCATGTCTTAAATAGGGATGGATATAATTGGAGTCCATAAAGTATTGAATAAGTTAACCTTTAGGAAAAAGAACCCTATTTTTTCCCTTGTAGGACAAAATCCCTCCCACTTTGTTGGAAATACTTTTCAACAAATAAACTTCCTCCAAATCACAACCATAGAAGCTGAAAGTTCTCACTTTGAGCTTTGTAATGGAAATATGCACAAAACTAATTCATATATAATATTCAAAAGCAAGAAGACACAATTCTGTCAAAGATCCAAAAAGTGCATTGAAATCTCTTTATTTTGGTGATGAACAGGAAGGGTTACCTTGTGGTTTTCCTGTAGGAAAAGTGAGGCTGCAGAGCACCCAAGGGGCTGCAGCCTGCCCTGCCTGCTCTGCAGGTGCCTCCTGTGGGGAGATGGTTCCACCATCCCACTGCTTCTCCTCCCTCCCTGGCACTGCTCTGATTGTCTTTAAGAGTTGACAAGTAGCTAGAAGTTAAGAAATGTTACAGTAAATGGTAGAAAGTTGTCCAAAAGGAAGATTAAAGCCTTCAGCAGTCCAAGTCCCAATGCCTGTTGTCCCAAAACAACCCAAAATCTGCCTGGGAGGCCACCTTTGAAACCAGGAGAAAAGCAATCAGGAAATCATTAGGTCAAACACGGTGCTTTAAAAGTCTGGTTTTGGCAATGCACGTGCAGGTGGTGTTGGAGGGGTTGGGAAGTGCTGCTCTGCTCTAAGGATCAGGCAGAGGGGATGGGGACAGCCCCTGTGGTGGCACCTCTGGAACAGGACCTTGCACAGGGCAGCAACTCCAAAATAAAGCTGGGACACTCAGGACTGATGCCTGGATGACCTCTGGGGCAGGCTGAGATCATACAGAAACTCTCATTTCTTCTCTTGTGTGCTGTTGGACCTCTGGGGCTTTGGGGCTTTGTTTTTTGCCTTGATCTTACCTTCTTTTCCTAAATCCCCTTGTGTGGAAACCAACATGTACTCAGTATTTCTCAGCCCCACCTTCCAGATTCTGTGTTTATGTATTTTTTCAGGTGCACAGTGGTCTCCTGAAGCTTGGAGGTATCAGAGCTCCAGCCCTCCTCCCTTACCTGATTCAGAGTAAGCATAACCAAAACCTTAAGACCAGGGAAAAATCGAGGCAGAAAAGATACACTGAGTAGAAAATATATGTACATGTTTTTCAGTAGTGGCTGGAAAACAAAACTGCCTAGAGGCTTAAAATACTCTTAAGGCAATGAAATGAGAGCACAATGAAATCTGGCACTCAGAGCCAGAGCCTCTGGCACACAGAGGCACCCAGCAGCATCCACTTGATTTTGGGATCACGTAATAGATGTGGATCTACAGGTACGTAATAGTTATGTGATCAATAGCTCACGGGAGCCCAGAAATTTATCTCTGGGATATCAAAATATGCATGGCAACACTTCCTAACCAAACAAAAGAAAACCCAACCTTCTGGGTGAAGCTTCAGATGGAACAATGTTATCGGGCCTCGCTGGGCAAACACGCGGAGCGCATAAAACCCGCGGCTCCCAGGGAAGGCAGCACCTCTCCTCCTGCAAGAGCCATGGATCTCAAGGTGCTCTGTGCACTCTCCATCACCCTCATCATAGCCCTCAGCAGCCTGGCAGAGGGAGTTGCACCTCCAAGTAAGTACTTCCACGTGCTGCTGCCTTCCAGGTACGTGTGGGACCCTCATCCCACCGACTGCCGCCAGAGCCTGGCAGCTTTGGCACATCAGGCAGCAAAGGCTTCCTGTGCTGCTGCTTGTCCCCAAAGTGGAGCCTACTTTTTAATTTTTATCAGAGAGATCGATAGCAAAGAAAGACTGCAGCTGGACTCTTGGGTTGTTGGAATAACCAGGAGCCCACTGCAAAGGCAGAGGTGGTCGCTAGAACAGGACCAGGGCTGGAACACGAGCCAGCTTTGTCTAAATTTTCTTCTGACATTTGGTTTATGCTGCTTTGCCATGTGAATGCAGTTTTAAAGGAGTCTGTCTGCCTCCTCATTAAAGGCAAGTCGTTCAGACAGCTCCAGAAGTGGAAAGCAAGTCACTCAATGACAGCTGGAGGACAGTTCCAGAATTTCTTGGTTGTGGCTGACTACTGTGCAAATGACTTAAAATGTTAAAGGAATGGCTGCAGCTATTTGCACATCATCCTATACTTTATAATATTGCAAAGATTTCGTATCTTTGCACCTATTGAATATCCACTGGAACCCTAAGTCTTTTCCTCTTCACATGAGATGGGCAAAGCAGCAAACATTTAATAGTTTAATATTTGAAGTTCTTGGGATTTCCCATTTGGTGTGGTCGATTCAAAGCCCACAGACCCCACTGTGCTGGGCTGGCTTGGCTGCAAGTGAGACCACAGACTCTCAAAATGTCATGTACAGCCCTGACCAAAATTGGTAGTGGTTTAAAAGCAGCTTTTAAACCGCTCAGGTTGTGGTCTTAGCAGGGGACTGAAAAGATGGACAGCATCTAGGGAAAGAGCATTGTTCCCTGTGAGCATTTGATAAAAAACCCTCCATGAGAAGTGTGCAAACTGACACCTGTAACTTGTGCTCCTTGTGTCCTGAACAGCAAAATGCCAGTGTAAAGTGGTTCCCAAGGAGAGGACAAACTGTGGCTACCCAGGGATCTCAGCAGCAGAGTGCAAGAAAATTGGGTGCTGCTTCAACGCCTCAGTCCCCAGCGTCCCCTGGTGCTACAATCCTAAGCCAAAGAAAGGTAATATCTCTGCCAGAAACACTGATTTACCTCGTGTTTGACTATCCAGAAACGTGTACAAGCAGGGAGCAGTTCTGCTTTTCTCCTTAGGCAAGAAAAGTGGGCACAAACCTCTGTTAGAAGACCAGTGGCAATAAAATGCAAAGTTCAGCCTTGCTTACCTGACTTCTGCCTCATCCTCTTCACACATTTCCTCTTCCTTCAGGCTTCTAGTTATCCAACAGCCTGTGCTGATTACTTAGAGACATTTCAGTGTCATTTGTGGTCTTGTCCATGGGTACAGCAAGGGGTACTCAGCATTTAAATAAGTGGGTTTGCTGTGTGGTTATTTGTTTGACATCTGTCAAACAAATCCTGCTTCTATTTTTTGCCATTATTTTCTCAGAGAGGATAACAGCTGCTCTCCTAGTCTTTCTAGGATTAGCTGTATATTTTACATAACCGTGTTAAGTAATGGAGTGTAATTAGCTGTGTTAATTAACTCAATGTAAGCTACATTTGCTGAGCTGACAGCACGACTCCTTCTCGGGAGAACTTCAGGGCAGTCTCAGCAGCTGCACAGGTGACATGAAAGGAAATGAGGGTGCAAAGGCAATGTCACCCAACAGAAGAACCTGATATAAAATGGAATTAGTCAACAGGGATCAGAATTACGGTAGGAAAAAATAGTTTTGCTGTTGAGCACTGCTTGCAACTCTTGTAAACCTTGAAAAAGGAGCAGCAGCAACTTAGGGTGGCATTCCCATAGAATTGCTTTTCTGAGCAGATCTGCTCCATGAGAGCAAAACTGAAGTATTCAAGCTGGGTGGTATAATCTCTCTACTTGTGATTTTAGTTTTAAGTGCCTGGAAGAGCTGTGATTTCCTCCTAAAACACATATTTCCTTTCTATAACTGAAGCTGGCATGCAGAGAGAGCTGGGTGGTCCTTTCCCTGTGTTAGCCAGGCTGCCCTGGGCTTAGCATGGGGTCAGGTCATGGGCATGCCTGCTCTGGGGCCAGCGTGTGTGACACCACTACAGGAGACACAGGACTTGTCAGCCCATTGCTGGATTGAGGGTGGGCTGCTGCCAGACCCTTCCAGGGGTGAATTTTCCCTCCTCTTATCCCTGGGGCACAGCAGCAACTCATCACCCTTTGGAATTTAATATTCCTAGGAGGCTGGCTGAGGATTTGGGTGAACCTGCTGGCTGAAATTGTTTCAGAGAAGGTCTCAGTGGCCATCCCATCTGCCCAGTGCCCTCACCTTTGTGTCCTTTTATTTTGAATTACAGCACCGGGCAGACAGAGCACGAAGTAACACATTGTCCTTCCTTCCTTTGTTTTGATTTGGGGTTTGTTTTTTTTTTTTTTTTTTTTTTTTTTGCTTCATACAGTGAAGAAAGTGTGTCCCAACGATCCCTACACCAGGATAAACTGTGGCCACCCTGGCATCAAGCCCAGGGAGTGCACAAGGAAGGGCTGCTGCTTCAGGGCACACCCCGCCGGCGTGCCCTGGTGCTTCTACCACCGCGTCGTGGAGGAAGGTAATGTCCCCAGGAGATGTCCCCCGTGTCCCTGGGGGTGCTCCACAGCTCCTGGCAGTGTCCCTGCTCTGCCCAGGCCTGGTGTGTGTGCCAGCCGGAGAATCCTAAGGGTGTGAGCATAAAAAAGGTGGCTAAACCCTAAAAAAACAGCTTCTTGTATAGCAGAGAGTGGGGTGCTGCTGGTGCATCTGAGCCAGGGGTTTGTGGGCAGTGTGAGTTTAAGACCCCAGATAATCCCAGAGTAGAGCTGCAATCACCCAAATCACATCCACCTTATCATGAGAGATAAAAAGCTTTGCTTTGGAAATGTGGACTGAAACTTAGAGAAATTTCTGATCCCCAGCTAACTTTGTTTTAGTTAGGGTTGACCTTTCAGCATATTTAATAACCAGTAGCCTCAGCCACACTGCGTTCTGTACTTCATACAACTCACCATAATTTGGCTTTACTGATCTGGATCATAATTGGGAAACACATCTACATATGGGGGGGTTGGTCGAGATGGCTAAAAAATTGCCTTTTGGATGTCCTAGGCAAAACACTTCCTGCATCTTGTGTGATTTATGGAGAAAACCTTAAATCTGCTTCTCCTCTTTACCTCCCCAGCTTGTTAAAGGAGAAACTTCCATCGAGAACTTGGCAACCTTTGGATCTACTCCAGTGGAACAACAGACGGAGGTCCCAACTCAGACTTTGTATTTTGCAACAGCCACGATTTCTAGGCTGTTCCTTACCTGGGATTGACTCCTTTCTGATGAAAAGTTACTGGTAGCTTTTATTCTCTCTGTAGGCTAGCACTGCACAGGTTTTCACTGTAATAAAACAAGTACAACTTAACTTGTGAGAGTTTTTGTTGTGGGGTTTTTTTTTTTTTTTGTTTTTGTTTTTTTTTTTGCTGTCTCTATTTCTATTTTCTATTTTAAAAGCTGTGTATTTCTCCGTTTCCCAGGGAATTTGGCATGTCAGCAACCTGCTGATGAGGGAGCAGGCACCAGTGCTTCCAAAAGGAACACAGCACTCAGCTTTTTGTGTTAGTTACTCTTCACACTTGCAAGTGACTGCTTGAATTTGTTAGCTGGCATCACACCAGCCACCCGTCCTTCTGAATGCTGGAAATACTCAGAGTTTGCCTTTATATAGATTTAGCTGTGGGTTTGGGCTTTTATTTCCCATTGAGACATAGGGAAGGGTGCCTTTGATAGCTGGTCTGACTCAAACACCTCCTGCTCTCTCATCTCCCTGTCCCTGGTGCTCATCACAAGCAGGTCCCATGGGTCACACTCGGGAAATGGCTCTGCAGCACAGAGGCTGCATTTAAAAATAAAATAACATAAAATAACATAAAATAACATAAAATAAAATAAAATAAAATAAAATAAAATAATAAAATAAAATCAAAACTAAAAGCACCCAGCCCTGGCCTAAACCTGAAATGGAGCTGCTGTGTCTCACCAGACACAGGAGAAGCTCCTGGTGTTGAGTGTGGCTGCTTTCTCCTGGCAGTGTTTAATGCTCAGCACAGCAGCCCAAGTGCTTCCCTGCTTCAGCTGAGTGAGAGCTCAATAAAGAGCCTCTGAGAGCTGTGTTGGGAATAAAATGGGGACCCTGAGACTGCAGCAGCAGCAGACTGTGCTCAGGGCTCAGCAGGGGAGAGAGTTGTGCAGGGATGTGCTGCAAGGAGAGAGGAAAAGATGGAGACACAGAACCGCAGAATGGTTTATTTGGAGGGACTTTAAAAAGTCATCTAATCCAACCCCCCTGCAGTGAGCAAGGACATCTTCAACTGGATCATGTTGCTCCTAGCCCCGTCCAACCTGTCCTTGAACTTCTCCAGGGATTTTTCACTTCTCTGAGCAGCCTGTTGCAGCCTTTCACCACCCCCACTGTAAAAATATTCCTCTTTTCCACGTGTCCTTGGAGGTTTGATTCACCCCTGCACACTTTAGTGATGAGTAACTTTATCCAGGCAGGTAAAAAATTAGTCATTCATCAACCACTTCCAACAGACTCAATAATAATTTGAATATGGTCCATACTCATGTTGCCCACATTACCCACTATTCCCTGTTGTAATATGAGCCATAAACTGAGCAGTGTGCTGAAGGCCTTTGGAGGTGTTTCAAAGAATCACAGAAGATGCTGAGCTGGGAGGGACCCACAAAAGCCAAATCCAGCTCCTGGCCCTGCATCATCATCATCATCATCATCATCATCATCATCATCATCATCATCCTCCTCCTCCGTGCCACTCCTGGGAGCAGCGGCGGCGCGGGCACGACCCGTCGGCTTCTCCCCACCTGAGCTGATTCTCTTTAATAAAGGCATCAAAAAGGTGAAAGATCTCCTGCCCCATTTATTTCACTTGTAGGGTCCCCACCTGAGCTGATTCTTTTTAATAAAGGCATTAAAAAGGAGAAAGATCTCCTGCCCCATTTATTCATTTCACTTGTAGGGTCCTCAGGCTTCCTCCAACGTGTGCATCTGTCTCAGAGCACACAGAGGCTTGTTTTGGTAAACAGCAGCCTTGAGGGATTCAGTACCAGAACACCACAATTGAAATGAGAATCTGGAAGGCCTGAATTAAAATATTTCACTGCAGCTGAGCCAAGTATCTTAATTGCAGAAAGATATTTCTGCAGTAGCTGTTGCAGAAATTCTGGGAAATTCCCAAGGGGTCTGACTTGCCACCAGTGTGGACTGACACTCCAGTCTGTGGTGATTTCAGAAAGCTTCATGAGAAGTAAATTTGGAAAGAAAAACCCAGTTCCTTCCTGCCACAAAATGAGATTTTCCCCTGCTTCTTACCCTTTTTGAGACTTGGCATCATGCCCCATCCAAGGAATGCTTCACCAAGACACAGAATATGAGTTTCAATGAAGAGAAGGAGCAAAATCAAAAGGTTTATTGTCACTTTTGTTTCTTCTTTAAGTACTTTGAGGTTATTGTCTGATTCTTTCACGGGAGAAAGACAAAAAGCACCTGCAAGACTCTTGATGAAGCCACAAAATCTGCTTCGTATTTGATTCTACAGATGCCATGGAGATAAGAAAAAAGGTCCTAGGAACAGGTGGAGCTTTATTCTCTCTGTCCAGCAGAGCAAAACAGGCAGTGGGACAAGAGAATGACTCTGCTAGAAAGATTTGGGGGAAACAATGCAAATTCTGAGGGGTGTTTTAGCTGCCAGAAGCTGACAATGGATTGGCTTCATGTCTTGATAATATTTTCTGACTGTGGAAGAGAGAACATTGACTTTTTACTCAGCCTTCCCGTGTGTGTGCAGGCACAGGCTAGAACAGGAACGTCAGGAATCCAGAAAAGCCATCACACAGAGTTAAAGAGAGAAAAAGAGATATTGAAAAGATCACAAGGCACAGAAAAAAACAAAAGAGACACAGAACCGAAGGCGGCTATGAAACTTAAAATGCACTAAACAACAGAAACGGATGCAACTGGTGTCAGTTTGACTAATCCAGCCTGGAACAGCTTTTCTGCCCCTAAATGAAGCTGGCAGCACTTCCCACCAAGCCCTTCCTGAAGGCTGTCCCATGGGCAGATGTCACTGCTGGTGGCTGCTCACCTGCCATGCTCTCCAGCCCATCTCTCACTCTACCCACCTCTCAGCTTCCCAAGCCTTTCAGCCTGCATTCCAAAGCAGGATTTAAATGGATAGCTGTCAGAAAATAAAGCTTCCTTTGGTTACAAGTGCTCTTTCCTTTATGAATGCGTTTGGAGGGCACAGTGGGTGGGAATTGCACGTGAGGTGTATTAGTTTTTGCAGTGCTGCTAATGAGAAGTTTATGGTTGGGTTATTTAATAGCATTAACTGCCATATAAAAATGCTTAAAGTAATTTATGTTGCCACTCAGGCTATGAAGGACTCCTCTTCCTCCTCTTCCCTTCCTGATCTGCAGACAACAGCTGGCACTGGGAGGCATCAAGATTTTGGGAACATAATTCCTTCAATTTAGTATTATTTCCAGGGCTATAAAACACGACATAAAGTATGATCTCTGTCATCATGAGAAAACTGTCTTGAAAACGTGATCCTATTGCATCCTTAGGGCAATCCTTGCTTTAAGCATCCCTGCTCCTGTTATTTATGAGTGGGCACTTGTAGAAGTTAGGGCAGTTTCCTTTGAGCTGTGGTGAGCAAGGCAGGTGATTTGGTTGCTGTGGTGGTCTGGATGGGTGGCACAAAGACACTGATGTTGTTTAGGCTTGGCCTCAATCCAACACACAACTGTCACCACCATATTTCCTGGAAAAATCCCTTCGCCAGGATTTCTCTCCTGGGAAGCTGAGAAGCCTCAGAGAAAAAGGAAAACAATAATTATCTCATTTGCTTCTCCTGTGTTTTGCTGCTTTGGAATGTGGTTTGGAGATTGTTCANCAATATAATATAATATAATATAATATAATATAATATAATATAATATAATATATTTTATTTTATTATAATATATTATATATTATATTATAATTATTATATATACTATAATAATATATATTAATATTGTATATAGTAATGTATAATATCATAGTATTGATATATAATACATATTATTATGTATTATCATATAATTATACAATAATAATTATATATAATTATATATTTATAATATAAATTATATTGTAATATAATATAATAATAAATTAGCCTTGTAAGGACATGGAGTCAGATTCTCATTTCCTCCCCTTCGTCGGGAATCTCAGAAAATACGAGACACAAACACCATGAAACAGCCTTAAAAATGCATGGAAAACCACCCAGGCAAAGTGAGTATTTGCCAAAGCACAGGACACCAACGCTGACCCCTCTTCCTGGCACTGGGGTTGCTGGGGGGCCCTACAAGGTCAGGATTTCTGCCCAAGGTTTCCCTGCCAGTGCAGGAGGAAGCAGCAGAAACAGTCAGCATGGCACTTTTTGGCTAATGTGGATCTTGGGAAAAACACAAGAAACAAAAATACTGACTTTCTAAACCAGCTGAAGACTTTCCTGGTGCCAGAAATGCCCCGAGGGCTGCAGAACATCACACAGCTGCTGTGGCAGGACGAGGGAGGAGGGTGTTTGCTAAAATGGGAAATGGACAGGTGGGACTGGCAGGATAAAACACAGTTTTTGTTCATCTGGGAAGAAGGGAGGAAGAAACCCACCCATTCCAGAGTGCCAAGCAGAAGGCAAACAGGGAATGATCCTTTCCTGCTTCTTGCCATGAAGCAGCACAGGGAACATCTGCCTCTTGCAGGCAGCAAGGGCAAAATGAACAGATAAGTCCGTGGCAGAAAAATTCATCAAAACTGGGTGAAAATACAAAGGTAATTAATTCCACTGGTTCAGGAAGTCCTTCAGTTGTGTAGGGTATCTCAGAGAAGCACCCCCTGATCTGGGGGTGTCAAAAGCCTTGTTTGGGTTGGAAGGGACCTTAAATATCCTCTAGTTCCACCCCCCAAGTGTGAGTGTAGTTCATGCTTTTAAGGATTTTTACTGGATATCTCTGTAACCCACCTGTATTGGGAGTTACCTGAAACCACCACAATTAGAAACAGGCAATTCCACGTCCTTGCTGGCTGCCAGGATCAAGGAGCAGGCAGTGAAAATGTATCACTACCAATACATCTTCCCTCAGAGTCAGAACAGGGACAAAGGCATCTGTCTGAAA